ACATCTTGACTGAAAATAGGCCAATTTGGCTTGCAATGATGTTTGACACCATGTACTTCATATCTTGAGACCGCCTCCGTGGTCTAATGGTAGAGCGTCCGCCCGGAGAGCGGAAGGTCCAGGGTTCGATCCCCGGCCGCGTCATACCAAAAGACCTTAAAAGATGGTACTTGTTGTTACCCTGTCTGGCGCTCGGCATTAAGGAGCTAACACAAGGACTGGTCGGCTCGGAGTCAGTATACTGTGTCTGAGTGGGGTATTCATGTTAAACTGCGGCATGGTATCTCAGTGTGCTAGCACTATAAAATGGCATCAGTCCGGACTAGTACAAGCAGCCACACACACACACACATACACGTGCATGCACGTCGCTATATAAGTGCAATAATCTTGGACGCGACTTTAAACTCCATTTCACTTCACCTCACCTCACCTCAACCCAAATGACCATCGAGACAGGTCGACAACTGAAATGCTGTTCAAAGCAGCGCTCAACAAAAGTCAACTCACTCGCTCTTCATGTGCCAAAGGGCACAGATATAGAGATAAGGGACGGACCATTGGACTGTTGAAAAATAAAGTAACTGTCTGCCCAAAAAAATATGTTGTTGCTATGTGTTATACTTACCAAATAATATTCAGGCTCATACTTTTAATGGAAAAAATATCTGGTTTTGCAGTTGTAGCTTAAAAAATATCTTATCTCCAGACAAAGTCCCAGGCCAGCGGGGCAACGCAGATACTCATTGCCCAGATCGGGTTGATTTGAGGGAGTCATCGTGATGTAAATACAGTTCTTATTTTTAAAGTTTGTAATTTTTGTATCCTTTATTAAGTTGTAAATAATGTTGATGTCTCATGTAAGAAATAAACTTCTCGTAGTCGTTGTTTATCGTTCAATAAAACACTGCAAGGAGAATAAACGAGTGATTTATTTTAAAACAAATATGTTCTAATCAACACCGGCATTTCAATAAATAATGCCTGGTGGTGTACACTGGTTTTTCGAAGTATACAAAGCTGGTGAAAGACAAAGTCATGATTAAGATCTAGGTAGATATTTATTTGTAGGACACGAACTTTGGGACATAAATTAAGTGAAACCTCGTTAATTCGATCTTTATTAGCTCTATGATATACTATTTAGACAAAAAAGACGAATTTTACCGAGACATCATTTTTTGGCATGTTCTAAAATCGGCAGAACAATACATATTCGAAGATCACAGTGACTTTGTTTTAATGTAAACAAAAGTCCCATTATACAAGAAAGTAGGACTGGGACGATAAACCATCTGTGCAATCTGATACGTATCACGACATTTGTATGTGCTCTTAACTGTGGTGCGTAAGCCCTCTTTTTCATACACAGGATGGTCAAATACCTGGCACACTGACGATTTACACTTGGTGCAGTGGATGAAAATATTTTCTTTTTCACTACTAATTTTCTCTATAAATTAGTTTTTGGTGGAATAGCCATTAAAGTAAACATTAAAGGTATGAATCGATATATTTACTTAGTGTGCGACTGTGATCGATACTTGTATAAGGAGTGTGAGTGAGTGAGTGAGTTGGGTTTAACGCCGCTTTTAACAGTATTCCAGTTATATCACGGCATGTCAGCTTAATGTGGGAGGAAAGCCCGAAGTGATGCAGGTCTTAGACGTTTACCACTTCGGTGAAACCCACGAGCACGGGTATGGTGCTGACAAACCTAAAAACATAATCGGGGCGAACCGGGATTCGAACCCACAATCATAGGTTTCTGGCGTGACCAAGGGACGCAACTCTGCACAGCGAATCGCGGCGCCTAAGACGAGTGGGCCAACCGTGCCCCCACTTGTATCACGAAGTAAAATCACCCACCGATGCATGTAAGACGACCAAAGTGTCCTGACATGGGTTACATTCCAAACAACGTTATTATACCGACAGAATCATTTTGTTTTAATATGATATATACTCCATTAGTATGATATATACTCCGTTTATACACCCTTCGGCTGTAGTAGGTAGGAACTGTTGGTTATGCGACGACCAAGTAGCCTCGACATCAGCCAGGTTTCCTGGATAGCGTCAGCGCAGCATACCCAGGGAACCATGTAGGCTCATTCTTGACCAACTCGTGTTATTCCGGGACAAGCCGAAAAGCGACTCATGCCCCTCTCGTGGCTATGTTTGCGACCGGGTTCCGTCTTAGCGCAAACGGGAATACCTAAAACAATTGTCAACTCGTTGCGTAATGGTTCACACATTTTCCCCATATATAATCATATTTCAGATGCAACTTAAAGCACATTGGGACGTGCGGAATTATGCAGTATGATTACACATTTAACTGTGTCTTTTGTATATTTTTAGATGCAAGACATATGTAAAATCAAAAATTAATTCTGGGGGATTCTTTGACGAAGAACTTGAAATCATACGCGCATTCTGATTGGTTTGTCGTATTTTCGCACATAACATTCATTGATAGGGGGACGAGTCTTCTTGAAGGTTACGGAAAGGGGCGAGTGTTGACGAATGGGGGACGAGTCTTCTTGCAGGTTACGGAAAGGGGCGAGTGTTGACGAATGGGGGACGAGTCTTCTTGCAGGTTACGGAAAGGGGCGAGTGTTGACGAATGGGGGACGAGTCTTCTTGCAGGTTACGGAAAGGGGCGAGTGTTGACGAATGGGGGACGAGTCTTCTTGCAGGTTACGGAAAGGGGCGAGTGTTGACGAATGGGGGACGAGTCTTCTTGCAGGTTACGGAAAGGGGCGAGTGTTGACGAATGGGGGACGAGTCTTCTTGCAGGTTACGGAAAGGGGCGAGTGTTGACGAATGGGGGACGAGTCTTCTTGCAGGTTACGGAAAGGGGCGAGTGTTGACGAATGCATGCAGGCTGCCTCAACTCGGCTACACGCTACAACTGTCCGTGGTCACGTGGACTCCATTCTGAGAAAGCCATGCTATGCTGGACTTTCTCTGTGAAGAAGGTGGTCAGTAGATATAGGGGTGTATTTTGCTGGTCCGAATGTTCCGAGTAGTGGGGAAGGTATAACCTTCCGCTTTCATGGTGAAATGTTAGAATGAGTTGCGGGTGCTGTCCACACCCAATGATACCCCAGTTACCGTAGAAAGGCAGTTGTAGTGGCAGCTGAGGTCTCCCGGAAGCCCAATCTCATGTGTTCGTCTTCAGGTAGATATATTGTGTGTGTCGTTCCAAACACACTTAGCCACCTTAATTTATAACGAGTGAGTGAGTGAGTTGGGTTTTACGCCGCTTTTAACATTATTCCAGTTATATCACGGCGTGTCGGCTTAATGTGGGAGGAAAGCCCGAAATGACGCAGGTCTAAGACGTTTACCTCTTCGGTGAAACCCACGAGCACGGGTATCGTGCTGACAAACCTAGAAACATAATTGGGGCGATGCGGGATTCGAACCCACAATCATAGGTTTCTGGCGTGCCCAAGGGACACCACTCTGCACAGCGAATCGCGGCGCCTTAGACGACTGGGCCACCCGTGCCCCCCTTCAGGTAGATATAGGAATAGTTGCTGGCAGATGTGTACAACGGTGAAACTTATTCATGTCAGTCTTGTACAGTACAAAGACAGCAAACTATAGTTTACTTGTGCTCCATTAACCTCAAATACCGTAGGGGTGGCCCAGTCGTCTAAGATGCCGCAATTCGCTGTGCAGAGTTGCGTCCATTGGGCACGCCAGAACCCTAGTTATGAATATGTGTTCGAATCCCGCTTCGCCCCGATTATGTTTCTAAGTTTGTCAACACCATACCCGTGCTCGTGGGTTTCACCACAGTGGTAAACGTCTGAGACCTGCATCACATTAAAGTGACACGCCGTGATATAACTGGAATACTGTTCAAAGTGGCGTTAAACCCAACTCACTCACGTAAAGCATGGGGTAAAATAATCTTAATAATTCTTTTGTCTCAATAATTGAATATCAGAAAGAAGGGACATGGACACTGCCCGTCACTATTATTCGTGACAGGGTGTTACATAAGATTTTTCGGCAGGGTGGCCAAGTTGCAGAGTTGCGTCCCTTGGGCGCGCCAGAAACCTATGATCGTGGTTTCGAATCCCGCTTCGCCTCGATAATGTTACCAGGTTTGTCACCATTTCTGCATTCGTTAAACCCAACTCACTCACTCACCTATATACGATTGTGGGTCCAAGTTGGTTGGTTGGTTGGTTGGTTTGTTGTTTAACGCCGCACTCAGCAATATTCCAGCTATATGACGGCGATCTGTAAATAAGACAAGTCTGGACAAGACAATCCAGTGATTGATATCATGAGCATCGATCCACGCAATTGGGATCGATGACATGTATCAACCAAGTCAGCGAGCCTGACCACCCGATCCCGTTAGTCGCCTTTTACGACAAGCATAGTCACCTTTTACGGCAAGCATGGGTTGCTGAAGACCTTTTCTACCCCTGAATCTTTACGGGTCGTGGGTGCAAGTACCAGATTAGTCCTGATTATGATCAGTGGTTTGTCAGCAGTGCACCTCTACAAAGGTGTAGATACTGTTTAAACCGGTCTTCCGGGGGACCGTAATGCAGGTCCGTTTTAGACAGAAGTATGCATTTTACAGAAATCGGATTCTGCCAAAGAGATACGTCCCTTGTTATCTCATGCGAAACTAAATTCGGGACAGTACACATGGTCCGGTATTGACAGAGACCTGGATTAATCAGAATCCGGTTTAGACAGATTCTACTGTTATCACTTCGTTCCCAGGTTTTCCCGATTTAATGAAATACTGTTAAACATTGCGTAAACCCAAATTATCTACTCGCTCGCAAACAGATCATATGAAGAAATAAATACAATACCGAGAGAATAATCTTTCCGTACTGAATATATAACCAGGTGATGTACAGTATTTTTCGAGGCTCTCTTGTATGGTGTAAAAATTCTGTAGCTGGATCTCAACGGCCTTTCTTCGGACTGTTTGACAATAAACACAGGAATCCAAATAGTTCACATAAAATTTCATTCACATTATGTACAGTCTTGATTATACATATATTTTGACAAAAAATAATCGCTTCGAGATTCAGAAGTGGCAACATGTAATTAACTAATGGCGGTTATTCGTTCCTGATTCAACACAGAGGTTGGTCGGTGCCCAGTATTGTAGGGTCACTTTATAGATTTGAAACCCGTTCAGTCAGAGACGGAAATTCGTTCCGAAGAGTCATTTTGATTTGATTCGTCCTCATTCGACCCTTTCCGTGACCGTGACGTCACTCCCAAACGGAGCAATGGTTGGTCCCGGGTACATTTCACTATTGTATGGATATAGTGGACACTGGATAATCGAGGGTGTGATACAAGGTTATTATCATTATAGTCAAGAGTAATAATGCACTGGGTTATCGAGGGCACTTTTTCTCACACGGCAATTGTCAAATGATGCCGCAGACAGCAATAGTCAAGATGTATCTCCTTTGCCGTACCGGTAAACTAGTGTAGGAACATTCTCAAATAGGTCACTGAACTTTCTACTTTTGTTCCAAGGTGAAAAAAAGGTAAACAGTACTCGACCACATGTGACGTAAGACTGCGCATGCTCGGAAGCCGTTAGTTATAACACATATGGTGTTCTGAAACGAATCTAAAAGTACTAGAGCTGGGAGATCGTGAAGCGGTCGCCTGTGTAATTTATTTACAAAATGATATATTTTACGTGGTACTAAATTGTGAAATAACAGCATTCATACCTATTTTATGCGTCCCTGTGGATGTACTCTGTATTGTTTTGCGTCCGTGTTTAATTTGTATGCGTAAAGGATTCAGGATTTCGCGTCCGGTAAATCCTTGCTGGTGTATCATGTTTGTTCTGCAACATGTTAACGTGCTAAATCAGCTAAATTTGCAAGACACCGGGGATCGCGTATACATATATTAACTATGTAGCCAATGACTTCACAATCTTAGCACGTTCCTGGAATAATCCCTGAATAAATGGTTTCCCTGATCAATCATGAACACAAAGTTTCTCTAAAACTAATTCCACAATTGTCATCCAATTCTCAGCCCTAGTCGCCATTACTCACCCCAGTCTCAGACCTAGCAGCTCTTACTCATCTAACTCTCGGTCCTAGCAGCCCTTACTCATCCCAGTCTCCGTCCTAGCAGCTCTTACTCATCCCAGTCGAGGTCCTAGCAGCACTTACTCATCCCAGTCTCGGTCCTAGCAGCTCTTACTCATCTCAGTCTCGGTCCTAGCAGCTCTTACTCATCCCAGTCTCAGTCCTAGCAGCTCTTACTCATCCCAGTCTCGGTCCTAGCAGCTCTTACTCATCTCAGTCTCGGTCCTAGCAGCCCTTACTCATCCCAGTCTCGGTCCTAGCAGCTCTTACTCATCTCAGTCGAGGTCAGAACAGCCCTTACTCATCCTAGTCTCAGTCCTAGCAGCTCTTACTCATCTCATTCTCGGTCCTAGCAGCCCTTACTCATCCCAGTCTCGGTTCTAGCAGCCCTAACTCATCTCAGTCTCAGTCCTAGCAGCTCTTACTCATCTCAGTCTCAGTCCTAGCAGCCCTTACTCATCCCAGTCTCCGTCCTAGCAGCTCTTACTCATCCCAGTCTCGGCCCTAGCAGCTCTTACTCATCTCAGTCTCAGTCCTAGCAGCTCTTACTCATCCCAGTCTCCGTCCTAGCAGCCCTTACTCATCCCACTCTCGGTCCTAGCAGCTCTTACTCATCTAACTCTCGGTCCTAGCAGCCCTTACTCATCCGAGTCTCCGTCCTAGCAGCCCTTACTCATCTCAGTCTCCGTCCTAGCAGCTCTTACTCATCCCAGTCGAGGTCCTAGCAGCACTTACTCATCCCAGTCTCGGTCCTAGCAGCTCTTACTCATCCCAGTCTCGGTCCTAGCAGCTCTCACTCATCTCAGTCTCGGTCCTAGCAGCCCTTACTCATCTCAGTCTCGGTCCTAGCAGCCCTTACTCACCCCAGTCTCAGTCCTAGCAGCCCTTACTCATCCCAGTCTCAGTCCTAGCAGCCCTTACTCATCCCAGTCTCAGTCCTAGCAGCCCTTACTCGTCCCAGTCTCAGTCCTAGCAGCCCTTACACATCCCAGTCTCGGTCCTAGCAACCCTTACTCATCCCAGTCTCAGTCCTAGCAGCCCTTACTCATCCCACTCTCGGTCCTAGCAGCTCTTACTCATCCCAGTCTCGGTCCTAGCAACCCTTACTCATCCCAGTCTCGGTCCTAGCAGCTCTTACTCATCCCAGTCTCAGTCCTAGCAGCTCTTACTCATCCCAGTCTCGGTCCTAGCAGCTCTTACTCATCTCAGTCTCGGTCCTAGCAGCCCTTACTCATCCCAGTCTCGGTCCTAGCAGCTCTTACTCATCTCAGTCGAGGTCAGAACAGCCCTTACTCATCCTAGTCTCAGTCCTAGCAGCTCTTACTCATCTCATTCTCGGTCCTAGCAGCCCTTACTCATCCCAGTCTCGGTTCTAGCAGCCCTAACTCATCTCAGTCTCAGTCCTAGCAGCTCTTACTCATCTCAGTCTCAGTCCTAGCAGCCCTTACTCATCCCAGTCTCCGTCCTAGCAGCTCTTACTCATCCCAGTCTCGGCCCTAGCAGCTCTTACTCATCTCAGTCTCAGTCCTAGCAGCTCTTACTCATCCCAGTCTCCGTCCTAGCAGCCCTTACTCATCCCACTCTCGGTCCTAGCAGCTCTTACTCATCTCAGTCTCCGTCCTAGCAGCCCTTACTCATCCCACTCTCAGTCCTAGCAGCTCTTACTCATCCCAGTCTCCGTCCTAGCAGCCCTTACTCATCCCACTCTCGGTCCTAGCAGCCCTAACTCATCTCAGTCTCAGTCCTAGCAGCCCTTACTCATTCCAGTCTCGGTCCTAGCAGGCCTTACTCATTCCAGTCTCGGTCCTAGCAGGCCTTACTCATCTCAGTCTCGGTCCTAGCAGCTCTTACTCATCTCAGTCTCCGTCCTAGCAGCCCTTACTCATCCCACTCTCAGTCCTAGCAGCTCTTACTCATCCCAGTCTCCGTCCTAGCAGCCCTTACTCATCCCACTCTCGGTCCTAGCAGCCCTAACTCATCTCAGTCTCAGTCCTAGCAGCCCTTACTCATTCCAGTCTCGGTCCTAGCAGGCCTTACTCATCTCAGTCTCGGTCCTAGCAGCTCTTACTCATCCCAGTCGAGGTCCTAGCAGCCCTTACACATCCCAGTCGAGGTCCTAGCAGCCCTTACACATCCCAGTCGAGGTCCTAGCAGCCCTTACTCATCCCTGTCTCGGTCCTAGCAGCCCTTACACATCCCAGTCGAGGTCCTAGCAGCCCTTACACATCCCAGTCGAGGTCCTAGCAGCCCTTCCTCATCCCAGTCTCGGTCCTAGCAGCCCTTACACATCCCAGTCTGGGTCCTAGCAGCCCTTACTCATCCCAGTCTCAGCCCTAGCAGCCCTTACTCATCCCAGTCGAGGTCCTAGCAGCCCTTGCTCATCCCAGTCTGGGTCCTAGCAGTCTTTACTCATCCGAGTCTCGGTCCTAGCAGTCCTTACTCATCCCAGTCTAGGTCTATTCTAGTCTAGTCTACTCCCCCCATTCACGGCCCTAGCCGCCTTTACTCATCCCAGTCTAGGTCCTAGCAGCCTTTACTCCCCCCATTCTCAGCCCTAGCAGCCTTTACTCCCCCCATTCTCAGCCCTAGCAGCCTTTACTCCCCCCATTCTCAGCCCTTGCAGCCTTTACTCCCCCCATTCTCAGCCCTAGCAGCCTTTACTCCCCCCATTCTCAGCCCTTGCAGCCTTTACTCCCCCCATTCTAAGCCCTTGCAGCCTTTACTCCCCCCATTCTCAGCCCTTGCAGCCTTTTCTCCCCCCATTCTCAGCCCTTGCAGCCTTTACTCCCCCCATTCTCAGCCCTTGCAGCCTTTTCTCCCTCTATTCTCAGCCCTAGCAGCCTCTTCTCCCCCCATTCTCAGCCCTTGCAGCCTTTACTCCCCCCATTCTCAGCCCTTGCAGCCTTTACTTAACCTTATTTTACCTTACACGTAACTTTATTTTAGGGGGACCATGTTAGTCTAATCAACGCTTTTCCATGTGAAATAGATAAATGAAGCACCAATATATCACACTGGTCGTCATCAGACAGTGGTTGTCAAATGTCCCAGCTATAGGACCGGTGTTCATCGTTTTACTTGATGAGTGTTCGGCTGGGTCTCGTTTGCAACATAAGCAAGACCCAGTCTTGTGTACATACAGACGAATAAAGAACATGATGTCGATGGTTTAGCAATAATGCTACATGGGTCTGACTGGGCTCCTGTCTATCAAATCGACTATAAAGGCGTAGGCTGCGATTGGACGACACCTAAAAGCACTTAACATTGGTCGTCGATATAACACTGCTTGTTTGTGAAGTAACATTACAAAGCAGTATTTTATCAATTTTATCGCCAAAAAGATGTAGTCGTGTCATTATGTTAATTTACATTCGTAATTAAGGACGCTACGCATGCGCACCTGTAACTGGCACTGTACATATTTGTACTTGATATTTGACCGCCGCCTGTTGGCTAAATTCGCTATGCTTGTTGCGCGATCCAACATTGGAACCAGTCTATTATGCGTCTTGCCTATCCTGTTCTTGTTCGCCATTACAAACTACACTTTTAAGCAGTGTCATTTCGAGGAAGGGACGACATGGAGCCATTACAACATATGGACTGTGACAAGATGACAGGGCAGTGGTGATCGAGGCACTTTCCATTAATTATTCCGTCAAGGCACCAGTGATGCAGCATAAACATTGTCCAGGGAATATCACCCTAATGTCATTTGATATCAGATATATCACCAGTCGTCGATAAAAGCTTAACACTCCTCGATACACGTTCATCGACTCGAGTGGTTATATCTGAGGGTCAGATTCTATTTAGCATCCAACCAACTTTAGTGGCAGAGATTAGTGATGTCATTTGACAGTAACGCCATGGTTTTGGTTTGGTTTGGTTTGGTGTTTAACGCCGCACTCAGCAATATTCCAGCTATATGACGGCGGTCTGTAAATAATCTGAAGTCTTGACCAGACAATCCAGTGATTGACATCATGAACATCGATCAATGCAATTGGAATACGATGACATGCATCAACCAAGTCAGCTAGCCTGACCACCCGATCCCGTTAGTTGCCTCTTACGACAAGCATAGTCGTCTTTTACGTCTTTTTTGCTGAAGACCTATTCTACCCCGAATCTTCACGGGTGGTAATGCATGGTAACCGATGACGTCACAATGGCGTGTGATGAAATTTCACTGCGGTATCTCATTTCCAAGCCTGTTTTGGGTGATCTATACAATATTTTCCATTCATGCTTCGAAGGCCTGCTTGGTGATGTACGTCACTGAGGTTGCACTGTCCACGTGATCAGCTCTTGGCAAAAGATGACGGGGAACATCTGGATGGTCAGCTGAATTTCCTATAATCCTACACGTATTAACAGCTGAAATAAAGTCACTACTAGAGCTGTACTCCAGTTCCAATTGAAATCTGCCCTCAGTATAAGTATCCCTATTGCGCCTGCGTATTAGAGCTCATCAATGCTGACTGTCGGGATGATGGGTGTCTCGTCGGAGTAAGTTTCCCTTGGGTCAAGGTCACTCAACTCTGTGTCGCTGAAAAGGAAGATATTGGTTAATAATCTTTTACAAACCATTGAAGTTACAACCCCTCACCAGACAGATGATGTCAGCAGCACACATTTATAATCGTATCGACCTTACTTTGCTATCATGAGCTTTGTACTGGGTGTATTGTGCACGTCGCCGGGTGACACCGTTGCTACCTTGCGGTCAAGGCCTTTCGGCTCGCTTTCGCTGAAAAATTGAAAATCGGCATGCTCAAATTCGTATTGGTTCTTAATTCATTTCGTTTGATGGTTTATAGAAAAGTACAAGGGAAGTGCCAATATAGCTCTGAAAAGATGGTGTAGCTTAGTGTCCAGTCTTATCATTTGATGAAAAAGAGTGAGTGAGTATGGTTTTACGCCGCTTTTAGCAATATTCCAGCAATATCACGGCGGGGGACACCAGAAATGGGCTTCCAACATTGTACGCATGTCGGGAATCGAACCCGGGTCTTCGGCGTGACGAGCGAACGCTTTAACCACTAGGCTACCCGACCGACCTTGCTGAAAAAGAAATCTGGTTTCGGGAAAACAAAATCTTTTGGCCATCTCGTGAGGCAGTGAGTATTTATTCACACTGGGTATTAGTACGCTTTCTTCGGTATTCAATATGTTTTTGGGTCAAGTCTATTGGGTTCTTTACACCTATATCCGTGTGCTGCCCAATGTATGTGACATATCGCATGAGTGTGAGTGAGTGAGTTTGGTTTAACGCCGCTTTTAACAGTATTCCAGTTACACCATGGCGTGTCAGCTTAATGTGGGAGGAAAGCCCGAAGTGATGCAGGTCTAAGACGTTTACCACTTCGGTGAAACCCACGAGCACAGGTATGATGCTGACAAACCTAGAAACATAATCGGGGCGAACCGGGATTCGAACCTACAATCATAGGTTTCTGGCGTGCGCAACTCTGCACTCTGCGTAACTTAACGCAAATGCGCAGCCAATCTGGAGCCCTGCCATCTGTGCTAAAATAACAATAACAACAAGAAATGTATCGTTTTGTGCTCTCCGCCTCTTGCGTCTTGAGAACGATGGACACTGATGCAGGAGCAGCCATTGCACTTTGAAGATGGAATAATACAAGAAAAAGTGGAATAATTTTTTGCACCCATTTTATACAAAATGTACAAAATTATTGCACTTATATACGACGTGCATGCACGTGCATGCGTGTTAGCGGCGTGTGTCCGATTTTATAGTGTTTGGGCTGCCATACGCAATTTAACAAGGATCATCACTCCTAGCCGTCAAGTCCTTCTTTTATACCCTTAATTCCGATCGTCAGGCATGGTAACTACAGTTACCTTATTTTAACGTGTTATGTTATGACGCAGCAGGGCATCGACCCACAACGTTCCCCAACCCGGGCGGACGCTCTGTCTACCAGACCACGGAGGCGAAGGGTTGGGAGGGTGCATATCATATGAATTCAAATTCCAAATTTGCATACTGTAGCATTTGAAGTGTGCCAGTGACTATTGTAATTGGTCAGGCAATACTGTATTTGTTCAGTCTATTAAAAACAACAGATTAATTCAAATTCAATCGACATTAATGTGTAACAAAAAGTACAAATAAACGAGCATAATACCGAACCCTTCTTATAGACTAACCTTTCTGAGCCTCGCTCTGGTCTGTCAGAAAAAGCGTCCTCCTCCTCCTCCTCAAGGTCGGAACCACTGGGGGTCAAGGTCATGAGCTGGCGGATGCTGGTGATCGTGTTGCCCTCTTCGATGGCGGACAACAATGGCGGCCTGGACACATATTGCTTCTCTAGGGTCTGCAGGATCTGTCCGGTCCTCCGTTTCCGGGGCTGGTCTTGGTGCTCCTCCCCCGGGACAAGCTCTACTGTGAACCTGGTGGAGATTACACGCACTTTATTCCTGCACACGGCGCCACACAGCAGGGTTCGACAAAACACATCAGGACCGCGTTTCACAATCGTACTTAAACATTGACAGGTCACAACTTTAGGCGTGTGTGTGTTTGGTGAGTAGGGTTAAACGCCGGTTCAGGGAATCGAACCAGTGAATTCGGTGCGACGAGACACCGCTTTCACGACTAGGCTAGCTGACTTGGTTGGTGCATGTCACTGATCCCAATTGCGTGGATCGAGGATCATATCAATCACTGAATTGTCTGGTCCAGACGCGATTATTGATAGACCGCCGTCACATAGCTGGAATATTGCTGGGTACGGCGTTAAACAACAAACCAACCAACCAACCACAACTAAGCTACCCCTTCAGCTCTGTAAAATGTCCCCGGGGACAATGATGGATTACTGGAAGCTGAAATTAATTCTCCTGGACTCCGACCTACAAAGTGTTCAACATTGACTTACGACTGTATGTTTTGTGGATCGAGTTCCTAGTCCGCTGATTCTCTCAGAGGACACACTGACTGACTGACTGACTGACTGACTGACTGACTGACTGACTGACTGACTGACTGACTGACTGACTGACTGACTGACTGACTGACTGACTGACTGACTGACTGACTGACTCACTCACTCACTCACTCACTCACTCACTCACTCACCTTGGCTGCTTGGGGGACGAGGGAGGCGGCTCCGTTGGTTTCTTTGTTTCTTTCTTTGAAAAGAAGTTAAAATTAAACGGCGTGCTGAATTTCCGTTTTACTTCAGTCTTCGGGGGGTCTCGCTCTTCAGTGTCCGTATTAGCGCGGCCCCTCCCTTCCATTCGGAGACGCTCGAGGCTATCCGAGATGTCGGCAAGGTCAATGGAGGCTCGGCGAGACGGATGCTCTGACGTGACGACGATGGAGGGCACCTGCAGGTAACCCATTCTGCCGTTGGGCACGCTAAAGCCTCGTTCCTGTTGATATGCGGAATGCAGGGTATCCCTGGAATCGTAGTGGGATTTTCTGAAGGAAAATGGTCTCGTTTAATGTTCAACACATGCGAATCAGTCACTTATTTAGTCAGGGTACGTATTGTCTGCAGTGGCTGAGAGTCAGGCTTCGTACTGTCTGAAGACACTGAGTCAGGCTACGTACTGTCGGAAGAGACTGAGTCAGGCTACGTACTGTCTGAAGAGACTGAGTCAGGCTACGTACTGTCGGAAGAGACTGAGTCAGGCTACGTACTGTCTGAAGACACTGAGTCAGGCTACGTACTGTAGGAAGAGACAGAGTCAGGCTACGTACTGTCTGAAGACACTGAGTCAGGCTACGTACTGTCGGAAGAGACTGAGTCAGGCTTCGTACTGTCTGAAGAGACTGAGTCAGGCTACGTACTGTCTGAAGACACTGAGTCAGGCTACGTACTGTAGGAAGAGACAGAGTCAGGCTACGTACTGTCTGAAGACACTGAGTCAGGCTACGTACTGTCGGAAGAGACTGAGTAGGGAGCCGGTGAAGGCGCTGCTGAGTGAGCCCTTGCTACGGCGCCTGATGCTGCTGGTCTCGGGGACGAACATCCGCTGCTCCTCCAGACCAATACGGCTGTAGAGGAAGAGTAAAGGTTGTTTTATGCCGCAGTATAAATAGCAGGTCGTTTAAGTGGAGTTTGGTTTCTTTGCATCCTGTCAGTATCAGCCTGCTTTGATAATAAAGATAATGACTTTTTATCGATAGTGAAGCGCCATACAATTACGTAAGTGGCTTAAAACAGTGACGGTTGTGTGCAACGAGAAAAAAAGATCCAGTGTAGGCCGGGTAGACGGAAACATACATGTTTTCGGTGCAAGTTTATGGTTTTCTATAAAATGTCAGACCTAAAAACCCACCCCACCCCACCCCACCACCCACCCATCATCGTGGGTACTGCCACAGCGCTGTCTGATCTCAAACGGAAGACATCATCGGCACTCTGTGAACCTGGCCTAAAGTCGATGATACAGGTGTCGGCTATATATGCCATCTTTAAGGATAACTTACGCTATGTTGAAAGTTGACCCCATGAAGTTGGGTTTCTTGGAGTGTTTTGACGCCTCAGTATAGGGAAGGTCGGGAACTACCACGTCATTCCAGAAGTGATCTTTCACGAACGGAGGATGTTTTCCACAGCATTGGTCGACAAGCGTAAACGCAACCTATGAACAATGTGATGAAGATGATTGACAGGTGTGGTGCTGACAAACAAAGCATCATTTTCCACACGAACTAGTAATTCGAGGGGGCACGGGTGGCCCAGTCGTCTAAGGCGCCGCGATTCGCTGTTCAGAGTATCGTCCATTGGGCACGCCAGAAACCTTTGGTTGTGGGTTCGAATCCCGGTTCGCCCCGATTATGTTTCCAGGTTTGTCAGCACGATACCCGTGCTCGAGGGTTTCACCGAAGTGGTAAACGCTAAAGAACTGCATCAATTAGGGATCCTCCCACATTAATCCTACACGCCGTGATATGACTGGAATACTGTCAAAGCGGCGTTAAACACAACTCACTCACTAGTAATTCGAAACCACATTCAGCGGATCCTGGTGTGACAAAGTAACTCAACTCTGCACAGCGTATTCCGGCTTTCTGCATCAGTTGGCCACCAAAGACCAAGATAAGCAAAACAGTTGTGATGAACGTGCATTTTCTTGCAGACAAGAAGTCTTTTATCTTCACGAAGTCCAGATTGTACACACCTGCGTGCTTTCCTCCTATACTTTTTAGGGAGTGCAAAATAATCGAAATATAAATGCTGCAACTTCACGTGCAGTCGTAAATAAATTGCTTAATTCGTAGCATCGTTAAACACAGGAAACGCTCCAATATAGACTACAAGGATCTCCCCTCACCGCAGTATGCCGATCAAGTAGCCAATTAATGTCGAAGTCGTCATCGTCCTCGCCGAACGGATTGATCAGCTGCTCAGCAACCTGTCAATCAAAGGGTTATAAATAGCAGACATATACACGTGTTTGTCAAACGTGGATCAGCTTTCGACACACTGGGCCATTTAATATTGTTCGTTACAGAATTTTATTTTAGTTAGCGCTTCAATTAATTGATTTATCTCTGAAAGAAGGAGGCAAACAGGAGATCTAATGTTTCAGAGCAAGTCGTTCTTTGTCAAATCTGAGAATATATTATTTGTTTCCAGTTTATCAGGGAAAAGATTGTTTTCTTCAACTGAAGCGCCCCCTCAGTCTCTCGGTGGAAGCCATGTGGAGAGATGGCGAGATCTATAACTTGCATGCAATACACCTTGAAATACACTCAGGAAAAACATTCACTGATTTCTATTCACTGGTCAGGCTCGCTGTCTTGGTTGATGCAGGTCATCGTATCCCAGTTGCGTTGATCGATGCTCATGATGTCAATCACTGGATTGTCTGGCCCAGACTCGATTATTTACAGACCGCCGCCATATAGCTGGAATATTTCTGAGTGCGGCGTTAAACAACAACCCAAACCATAAAAACTACCACCACCACAACTACCACCACTATAACAACACTAATATTATATATTTGTGTACCGCATATATTCAGACATCTCTTGTCAAATGCGGTTGGTTCGTTCCCCTACCAGTGGGTCCGTATGCATTTAAGTTATCATTCTCCGCTCCCTGGGCAGTATACAACCCATGATACCTACAGGCGCTAGCCTGTTTGTACATCACCTCGCATATCGGGTATCCATTCCGTGCTGGGTAAACAGAGGCACATTTGAACTAAGTTTCTTGCACAGGGTGAAACCACACCTATTGACACTTGTGGTTCGGGTGTATGTACTTGATATCACCATCATCACCATCTATTGCTGACCCGTGAAGACCTGGGATGGAATAGGTCTTCAGCAACCCATGCTTGCCGTAAAAGGCGAGTATGCTTGTCGTAAGAGGCGACTAATCGGGTGGTCAGGCTCGCTGACTTGGTTGAAGCATGTCATTGTATCCCAACTGCTTAGATCGATGCTCATGATACACACTGGATTGTCTGGTCCAGACTCTCTTATTTCAGATCGCCGTCATAGAGCTGGACTATTGCTGGGTGAGGCGTTAAACAACCAGCCAACCAACCATCTATTGCTGTCAACCCATTTAAACGACAAAACAGAGTCCCCTTTGTGTCACGTTGAAAGGAAATCCGTGACGATCCTGGTTACAATAGATCGTCAGTAACCATGCTTGTCTCCCCTCGTGACGATCCTGGTTACAATAGATCGTCAGTAACCATGCTTGTCTCCCCTCGTGAAGATCCTGGTTACAATAGATCGTCAGTAACCATGCTTGTCTCCCCTCGTGAAGATCCTGGTTACAATAGATCGTCAGTAACCATGCTTGTCTCCCCTCGTGAAGATCCCGGTTACAATAGATCGTCAGTAACCATGCTTGTCTCCCCTCGTGAAGATCCTGGTTACAATAGATCGTCAGTAGCCATGCTTGTCTCCCCTCGTGAAGATCCTGGTTACAATAGATCGTCAGTAACCATGCTTGTCTCTCCTCGTGAAGATCCGGATAAGAATAGGTGAGTGAGTGAGTGAGTGAGTGAGTATGGTTTTACGCCGCTTTAAGCAATATTCCAGCAATATCACGGCGGGGGTCACCAGAAATGGGCTTCACACATTGTACCCATGTCGGGAATCGAACCCGGGTCTTCGGCGTGACGAGCGAACGCTTTAACCACTAGGCTACCCGACCGCCTTGTAAGAATAGGTCTTGAGCAAACCCACGCTTGTCATAATAGGCGACAGGTTCGCTGAGTTGGTTGATGCATGTCATCGTATCCCAACTGCGTAGATCGATGCTCTTGATGTCAATAACTGGATTGTCTGGTCCAGACTCGATTATTTACAGACCGCCGTCATTTAGCTGGAATATTTCGAGTGCGTCGTTAAACAACAAACAAACAAACAAACAAGCAAACAAACAAACAAACACTCCACTGCAGGACAACTGACCTTCAGCCAGCCCATGTAGAAGAAGAACTGCATGAAAGTAAAGACAGGAATGTAGAAGTCGTATTCGTAGCCGTCGTATTGTTGGAGCGGGTCCAGAAACTGCCGTCCCAGAATACACGCCGCAAAAAACATATGCACGGCCAGCGTCACAACCTGCAATTAACCAAGCGTGTGTTTTTTCATCGACATAAGACGTTACCTCACTTAGCATACTTTAAAGTCTTCTCTCAGATGTCGGAAGTAGTTATGACTATTGTCTTCAAGTATTTGTTTGCTTGTTGTTTAACGCCGCACTCAGCAATATTCCAGCTATATGACGGCGATCTGCACTGAGATCTGCGCTGAGAAAAAAATCCAGTGAACTTAATTAATAACAGCGGTCAGAAGGTTTGTAAAAAAACGAAATCACCATCCTGCCTGCCACGGGGCAGTTGTTGAGAGAAGGGTATCACATTTCGGTTTCAGAGCCAAGATTTAAATATTGCTCACTTCCGCCTTGGTCAGTGTCACGCCCCCCATTTTGAGTAAACAAGATGAGTAGGGAAACAGGATGGTACTGAGTCAGGTGAGATGAAATGAGGGTTTACTGTCGCGTTAGTGCACATATATAGCGACGTGCATGCACGTGTGTGTGTGTGTCTGTCTGTCTGTGTGTGTGTCTCTGTCTGTCTGTATGTGTGTGTGTGTGTCTGTGTGTGTGTGTCAATATGTGTGTGTGTGTGTCTGTGTGTGTGTGTGTGTGTGTGTGTCTGTGTGTGTGTCTGTGTGTGTGTCTGTGTGTCTGAGAGTCTGTGTGTGTGTCTGTCTGTCTGTCTGACTAGCTGTGTGTGTGTGTGTGTGTGTGTGTGTGTGTGTGTGTGTGTGTGTGTGTGTGTGTGTGTGTGTGTGTGTGTGTGTGTGTGTGTGTGTGTGTGTGTGCTTGTACTAGTCCGGACTGATGCCGATTTATAGTGCTAGCCCACTGAGATACCATGCCGCAGTTTAACATGAATACCCCACTCAGACTCCGAGCCGACCAGTCCTTATTTAACCCCCCCTTAATGTCGAGCGCCAGGCAGGGTAAAAACAAGTACCATCTTTTAACGTCTTTTGGTATGACGCGGATAGAATAGATAGAAAAGAAATTGCTCTTATCTTGATCAGGGATATATTTGTTGTTTTTTAAACATTTTAGGTGCTAGGGTTCTTTAAATGAATGTTAACAATGGTTTAAATAGGTGAGACCTTTTTCGGCGCTCCGAGCCTAGACTTGGGGTTTAACTGATCATTTAAAAGATTAAACATCGGACCCGGGAGGCCCGAGTCTCACTCATTATATTTATCTTTCATCTGTATTTTGTTGTTTTCTTGTTTTGGTGGTCTTAGGCGCCGCGATTCGCTGTGCAGAGTTGCCTCCCTTTGGCACGCCAGAAACCTATGCTTGTGGGTTCGAGTCCCGGTTCGCCCCGATTATGTTTCTAGGTTTGTCAGAACCATACCCGTGCTCGTGGTAAACGTCTGAGACCTGCATTACTTGGGCTTTCCTCCTACATTAAGCTGACACGCCGTGATATAACTGGAATACTGTTAAAAATGGCGTTAAACCCAACGCACTCACTCACTCAATCTAACTGACTGATACGAGCAAGAATAGTTTTCATGCTTGTATCTTTTTTTGTGTTTACACTAGTTGATATGATGGAGTTCTATAGAGTACGCGAACCCACCTGTGTGTAGACGAGAGGGATTGTTATCCAGTCGTACACAAAACACAGAGAACATTTATCTCGGAACGTTGCCAGTTGCTGAAAGAGACAAACACGTAGTGATGACATGTGGGTGGAAACGGTAATTCGTGTAGACAGCACATTACTGCACAGCTGACTCAATGCCAACCTTACCAGTCTATGAAGAAAGGAACTTCATGAAATAGTCAAATATTCTTTACTGTCGGCTACAGCTTATTGTGGGAATAAGCCCAATATCATGCAGGTATTGTGGTACTAAAGAACGAGTCTGGTGCACACAAACCAATTCGGGTTGACCGATCCTTGCTTTACGACCTTAATGCCGAGCAAAAGGCAGGGTAACAACAAGTACCATCTTTTAACGGATTGGGTATGACAGGGCCGGGGATCGAAGCACCGAGCTTCCGCTCTCCTGGTAGACGTTTTGTCCACTAGACGAAGGAAGTGGTTCACACGAGCGACGAGAGACACAGTTTACTAAGTCATGTTAGGATGCATCTCGTGAAGATGACTCGCCCTGATATTACGGAGATACTGTTCAAAGCGGCGTGACACCCGACTCACTCACTCACGCATAAAACTCCACACACACACACACACACACACACACACACACACACACACACACACACACACACACACACACACATCTAGACTTCCGTAATCTCGGTGTTTTGTTGGATTCAACCTAGGTATAGGAGTGGTGAAAGCGTTCACATGTCGCAATTCCCCGCTTGGTACAATGTGTAGAACTGAAATATGATGTCCTCCGCCGTCCAAGGTTATTGCTTGTATAACGTGTGTATGCACGTGTTTGTTTGTTTGTTGTTGAACGCCGCACTTATCAATATTCCAGCTATATGACGGCGGTATGTTAATAATCGAGTCTGGACCAGATAATCCAGTGAGTGACATGATGAGCATCGATCCACGCAATTGGGATACCATGACATGCATCAACCAAATCCACTAAATCCCGTTAGTCGCCTCTTACGGCAAGAATAGTCGCCTGCTATGGCAAGCATGGGTTTCTGAGGAACTATTCTAACCCGGATCTTTCCTCGGCAATGATATTGCTGGATCACTGCAAACAGCGGCGGAGAAGACCAACACACCTACGTTTCCATTCTTTCGCTGTTTGCTTCACACCTTGATGAGACCCGTGAAGATTCCGGGGTAGAATAGGTCTCCGGCAACCCATGCTTGCCGTAAAAGGCGACTATGCTTGTCGTAAAAGGCGACTAACGGGATCGGGTGGTCAGGCTCGCTGACTTGGTTGATCCATGTCATCGTTCCCAATTGCGTAGATCGATGCTCATGATGTTAATCACTGGATTGTCTGGTCCAGACTCGTTTATTTACAGACCACCGTCATATAGCTGGAATATTGCTGAGTGCGGCGTTAAACAACAAACAAACAAACATCATACCTCGATGATCATTCGTAGACCGAACTCGTTCTCCAGCTTGCCCTCCCGTCGAGCTTGAACCAGCACGCTGTTGGCCCACATCAAGGGCACCCAGAACTTGTGGAACTGGCACTGCGTGTCCTCAAACGTCATGGCTTCGTCCTTGGTGATGAAACCTACAACAACAACACAAGGGCATTAATACCACCACGACTAGATCGGGTGTCGCTGACGATTCAGGGTTGAAGTGTTGGTGGTATCTATTGCTTGAGTCTACCCATTTAGACTCTAGAACACAGACCCCTATGTTTCACGTTGGAAGGATCACGTGAACAATAATTTAGGAGTAAGTGAATATTATTTAACGCCGCAGTCAGCAATGTTCGAGCTTAACAGCTTAATTTGGATCAGACAAACCAAAGAATGCAATCAATCAGTCCAGTGGTCGAGCCTGACCACCCGATCCACGACGACAATGGAACGCTGAGAGAATGTTCTGCACCAGAACCCGATATCCGTGATATATGCTTGTCGTAAAAGGTGACTAAGCTTGTCGTAAGAGGCGACTAACGGGATCGGGTAGACAGGCTCGCTGACGTGGTTAATGCATGTCATCGTATTCCAATTGCGGGGATCGATGCTCATGATGTGAATCACGGGATAGTTTGGTCCAGACTCGATTATTTACAGACCACTGCCATACATCTGTAATACAGCTGGAGTGCGGCGCTAAACAACAAACAAACAAACAAACAAACAAGCATGTGGTCCTCCTCGCCTCTAGTGACCGCCTCCGTGGTGTAGTGGTAGAGCGTCCGCCCGGAGAGCGGAAAGTCCGGGGTTCGACCCCCGGCCGCGTCATACCTAAAGACCTTAAAAGATGGTACTTGTTTTTAACCTTGTCTGGCGCTCGGCATTAAGGGGCTAAAACAAGGACTGGTCGGTTCGGAGTCAGTATACTGTGTCTGAGTGGGGTATTTATGTTAAACTGCGGCATGGTATCTCAGTGAGCTAGCACTATAAATCGGCATCATACCGGACTAGTACAAGCAGCCACACAAACACACACACGTACATGCACGTCGCTATATAAGTGCAATAATCTTGGACGCGACGTTAAACCCCATTTCACCTCATCTCACCTCGCCTGTAGTCCTCTAGTCCTCGCCCGGCCCCGCACAACACACAACCGGGTTTACCTAGGCCTGCCTCTACATTGGGTCCCCCTCGCCTCTAGTCCTCTAGTCCTCTAGTCCTCTAGTCCTTGCCCGCCCCGCATAACACACAACCGGGTTTACCTGCCTCTACAATGTGGTCCTCGTCGCCTCTAGGCCTCTCGTCCTCTAGTCCTCGCCCGGCCCGCACAACACAACCGGGTTTACCTGCCTCTACAATGTGGTCCTCGTCGCCTCTCGTCCTCTAGTCCTCGCCCGGCCCGCACAACACAACCGGGTTTACCTGCCTCTACAATGTGGTCCTCGTCGCCTCTAGTCCTCTAGTCCTCGCCCGGCCCCGCACAACACACAACCGGGTTTACCTGCCTCTACAATGTGGTCCTCGTCGCCTCTAGTCCTCTAGTCCTCACCCGCCCCGCACAACACACAACCGGGTTTACCTGCCTCTACAATGTGGTCCTCGTCGCCTCTAGTCCTCTAGTCCTCGCCCGCCCCGCACAACACACAACTGGGTTTACCTGCCTCTACAATGTGGTCCTCGTCGCCTCTAGTCCTCTAGTCCTCGCCCGCCCCGCACAACACACAACTGGGTTTACCTGCCTCTACAATGTGGTCCTCGTCGCCTCTAGTCCTCTAGTCCTCGCCCGGCCCGCACAACACAACCGGGTTTACCTGCCTCTACAATGTAGTCCTCGTTGCCTCTAGTCCTCTAGTCCTCGCCCGGCCCCGCACAACACACAACCGGGACTTAGGCCTGCTTCTACAATGTGGCCCCCCTCGCCTCTAGTCCTCTAGTCCTCTAGTCCTCGCCCGGCCCGCACAACACAACCGGGTTTACCTGCCTCTACAATGTGGTCCTCGTCGCCTCAAGTCCTCTAGTCCTCGCCCGGCCCCGCACAACACACAACCGGGTTTACCTGCCTCTACAATGTGGTCCTCCTCGCCTCTAGTCCTCTAGTCCTCGCCCGCCCCGCACAACACACAACTGGGTTTACCTGCCTCTACAATGTGGTCCTCCTCGCCTCTAGTCCTCTAGTCCTCGCCCGCCCCGCACAACACACAACCGGGTTTACCTGCCTCTACAATGTGGTCCTCCTCGCCTCTAGTCCTCTAGTCCTCTAGTCCTCGCCCGCCCCGCACAACACACAACCGGGTTTACCTGCCTCTACAACGTGGTCCTCCTCGCCTCTAGTCCTCTAGTCCTCTAGTCCTCGCCCGCCCCGCACAACACACAACCGGGTTTACCTGCCTCTACAATGTGGTCCTCCTCGCCTCTAGTCCTCTAGTCCTCGCCCGGCCCGCACAACACACAACCGGGTTTACCTGCGTCTACAATGTGGTCCTCTTCGCCTCAAGTCCTCTAGTCCTCGCCCGGCCCCGCACAACACACAACCGGGTTTACCTAGGCCTGCCTCTACATTGGGTCCCCCTCGCCTCTAGTCCTCTAGTCCTCTAGTCCTCGCCCGCCCCGCATAACACACAACCGGGTTTACCTGCCTCTACAATGTGGTCCTCGTCGCCTCAAGTCCTCTAGTCCTCGCCCGGCCCGCACAACACACAACCGGGACTTCGGCCTGCCTCTACAATGTGGCCCCCCTCGCCTCTAGTCCTCTAGTCCTCGCCCGGCCCGCACAACACACAACCGGGTTTACCTGCCTCTACAATGTGGTCCAGAGTCGGGAAGCGCTTCATGACGGCCACGCTGACGGAGCGGGAGATGAGGATGAGGCCGAACAGCATGTAGCGAGCCACCGTCCGTCGCATGATCCGGGACCTCTCGTCCAGGCCGGTCAGGTACGTCGTCATAATGAATAGTGTCCTGCAGCAATCAGTGAGTGCTGTTAACGCCGCGGACAGCAATAGTCAAAACAAATATCTTATGTATACATAATGTTCAAGCTATATATACTTGGGAGTATATTTTTCTATTGAATTATCTTGGAATCTTCATTCAATACAGGCTGCAACACAAGCAAAGAGAATTCTCTATGGCAGACTAAAAAGTCTCAGATATATAAAAAGTGTAAATTTTAATCTTTTTCAACAATGCTATTATATGGGGTTGAGGTTTGGGGTGTACACTCTCACAACATTTGTACAAGGTGTGAATGTGGTAATAAATCAAAATAATAAAGTGTTGGTTAAAGTTATTAAGGATGCCATATGATAGATACCCAAGTAAGTGGTATGAAATGATGGTATTGTATGACAAATATGGAAAGCAAACCTGGGATTCATCAGTTAAAAAACTAATTAATGACTTACGCTTAGATTATGCTTGGCAAAGTCAAAATGTAGATAGCCCTGAACATTTGATGAATTGTGTGCACAAAGGCTCCAAGATACGTACACACATAAGTGGTATTGTTTCTTAGCTTTATCATCAAAAACGTCAGTACTTTATTGGAAAACACATTGTATAACTGTAGAATATCTTTTGAAACCACGCTTGTACAAATATAGAATTGCATTTTCTTGATTCCGATGCTCATCACATGAACTATATATTGAAAGTGGAAGATATTCCAAAATCCCAAAGGAAATTAGATTATGTAGAATGTGTAATTTACAGCTTATAGAGGATGAGTACCATTTTGTTCTTATTTGTTCATTTTTGTTAGAATTTACGAAATGAATAGCTACATCCATCAATGTATCAATTTTACAAATATATTTTTAGGTTTAATGAATTAATATCTTCTATAAATATTAATGTACTGAAGCCTTTGACTGCGTATATATTCCATGCAATGAATTTTCGAAATGATAAGATGAGTGACAGGTAGAAATCAATACGTCACCCACTACCCACGAAGATATGTATTACCGTCCACTATCCACGAAGATATGTAATAAAGATTGATAGAATGAACACGGTACAAACAGCCCTGTACGGCAAGCCAACTTTAGAAACACTGACGTGACTTCACCGTTCAGTAAACAGATCTACCCTACTTCAACTTTAATACACACTAACATAACCTGCCATTCTTTACCATTGCAGCGGACCGCCTCCGTGGTCTAGTGGTAGAGCGTCCGCCCGACGAGCGGAAGGTCCGAGGTTCGGTCCTTAGCCGCGTCATACCCAAAACGTTTAAAGATGGTACTTGTTGTTACCCTGTCGGCGTTAGTCCGGACAAGTATAAGCAGCCACACACACGTGAATGCAGGTCGCTACATAAGTGCAATCATCTTGGACGCGACTGTAAACCCCATTTCACCTAACCACACCTCACCATTTTAGTCGGTACGTTTATGTCAATTCAGATTCAGCTCTCGCGCGGGAAATACTTTAAATCTGACACTCGTTTCGTAAAGTCAGTAACACGAATGCGATTATAATAAGCTCTATATATCACCCATAAAGGATAGAATGGTTGTGCGAAATAACTGTCGGATATTTGCACATGTGTATTTTAGCGATTCGCAATGATGATTGGTCAATTGAAGCCATATGACGTCACAGTGTTTCATTATAGAGAAAATACATGACATTACATCCGGGTTTTTTTCATTTTCTCACTTAAAATGTCAATGAGCAATATACATGTCGAGAATAATCAACTCGAAACTATGAGTTACGAATCATCTGTCCCCCGTGATTGGATACTGTAAATCCATCGTGGCATATTTTAAGGTTTGTTAAATTAGTTGTTTGTTTCTCATGACGCGATCGTCCCTTGAACTTTCCCCGTACTTAGATTTACGTGACGCTTGGGTAATCCATTTCTTCTTTCAACCTGCTGTAGATAGGCGCTGCGCAATAATTGCCCGTGGAACCGGCCAAGCATTATTCTCTTGTTCATAAAAGTGAAATATTTGAAAATATTTCTTCCATTGCCATTGAATTATCTCTTACAATCTTAAATATCCTTCCAGACACTTATAATCACGTGAAACTGTTCTGTTATTGCGTTTCTCCAGTTCGACATTAACGTTGGTAAGATGCCAACGTTGATGTGTTTCAACCTGTGAGTCGATACAAAAGCCCCAGGAAACAAGGAACAGGTGCAGCCGAAACTGAACCTACTAATCCGGAAATTCTACTTGACCGATTCCTGTCATCAAAAGCCAAAGGGCGAATAACTGGTGAGTGGATGAATATTGCTTAACGCCGCACGAGAAATTATAGTGTCCCTTGCTCATATCAGTCACTTCGAAGGTTTGTTTGTTTGTTGTTTAACACCGCACTCATTTCAATATATAAGCCCATTATTCCAGCTATATGACGGCGGTCTGTAAATAATCGAGTCTGGATCAGACAATTCAGTATCCGAGCTTGAAGTTATCAGTTAGTCTGCATCCTAGATCTTTCGGGTTAGAATAGGTCTTCAGTAACCCATGCTTGCCGTAAGAGGCGACTGCACTTGTAAGATGCTACTAACAGGATCGGGTGGTCATGCTTGCTGAATGTTAAAGCGTGTCATTGCATTCCAATGGTGTAGATGGATGCTCATGATCTCAATCACTGGATTGTCTGGTGGAGACTCGAGTATAGCTGGAATATTCCTGAGTGTGGCGTTAAGCAACAAACAAACAAACAAACAAACTTCCTACGTCTAGTCTTCCTCTGTCCACTGACCTGTCTGGCCAGGGGATGTTCATGAACTGCTGCCACCACCTCCTCACGACAAGGGACACGTAGAAGCCGAGCACGAAGGAGACGGGGATGAGGCTGGTGAAGCTGTTACAGTGGATGACGATCTTCTCGAACACTCTGAAGCAGAACTTACATCAGTCAAACACCCGTAACAAACAGTACATGTAAATCTGTCAAACATACAGTGACAAATTCTTCATCTGTCAAACACGCTGTCAAACGCCGTATGATAAGCTTTACATCGGTCAAACAACCTGTGACAAACTGTGATCTGTCAAACTCAACTGTCACAAACTGTAATCTGTCAATTATCTCTGACAAACTGTAATCTGTCAAACATTCTGTCACAAACTCTTCATCTGTCAAACATCCAGTGATAAACTGTAATCTGTCAAACATCCTGTCACAAACTCTTCATCTGTCAAACATCCAGTGATAAACTGTAATCTGTCAAACATCTGTGACGAACTCTATATCTGTGAAACATCTGCGACAAAATTTACATGTGCCAAACGCGCTGTCAAACGCGCTATGACAAACTTTACATCTGTCCAACACCCTATGAAAAACTTTGCATGTGCCAAACGCCCTATGATAAGCTTTACATCACCCTGTGACAAACCGTACATCTGTCAAACGTCTGTGACAAACTATACATCTGTCAAACATCCTGTCAAGAACTGTAATCTGTCAAACATCCTGTAACAAACTGTACATCTGTCAAACATCCTGTCAAGAACTGTAATCTGACAAACATCCTGTCACAAACTGTACATCTGTCAAACATCCTGTCAAAAAATGTATATCTGTCAAACATCTTGTCAAGAACTGTAATCTGTCAAACATCCTGTCACAAACTGTACATCTGTCAAACATCCTGTCAAAAACTGTACATCTGTCAAACATCCTGTCACAAACTGTAATCTGTCAAACATCCTGTCAAGAACTGTAATCTGTCAAACATCCTGTCAAAAACTGTACATCTGTCAAACATCCTGTCAAAAAATGTACATCTGTCAAACATCCTGTCACAAACTGTAATCTGTCAAACATCCTGTCAAGAACTGTAATCTGTGAAACATCCTGTCACAAACTGTAATCTGTCAAACATCCTGTCACAAACTGTACATCTGTCAAACTTCCTGTCACAAGCTGTACATCTGTCAAACATCCTGTCACAAACTGTAATCTGTCAAACATCCTGTCACAAACTGTAATCTGTCATTGTCTTCATTGTGCGGGTCATGCAATTCTATGTGCTATATTATCTGTAAATATTTGTACTCAAAGGCAAAACTCGGGTGGTCAGGTTTGCTGATATGGTTGATGCATGTCATCGTATCTCAATTGCGTAGATGAATGTTCAAGGTGTCAATCATTGGATTATCTGGTTCAGTCTCAATTATTTACAATACGGAAGATACCTTATACAGGCTCTACACATTGTATCCAACTAAGGTTTTGCGACATGTGAAGGCTTTCAGCACTCCTTTTCCTTGGTTGAATACACTAGAACACCGAGATCACGAAATTCTAGATGTGTGTGGATAGAATGAAGGAGTCGGGTGTCACGCCGCTTTGTAAAGATGCTAGAGTTTGTGGTTTGACTTTCATATTTTCAACAATACGCATCCAACCCTCCCCAAACTAGCCTGGCCTGTTTTGACATGTTGTTTGACCCCTAGGAGTGCGGTCAGTCTGTAAAGCCATTTCGTCGTTCAAAATTATTAATAATTTTCAGTTAATAAATATCAAAATAGCTGAGCACAGTTACTTTCGCTTATGAGTATATATGCATGGTACGTGTGGGTACTTGTGATTATACTTAATTTGCAATTACCACTAAATTTCAAATGAAGGATTAGATCGACGGCCAAAAGGAAGTAAGTATGGATAACCTCGTTCACACTGAAAGGGGTCGTGAGCTCCAGGCTGCGCCCGGTGCTTGTACAGTGTAGGGAGTTAGACATCTCATGTCTTATGGGTGTACGGTGAACGGTCACTGCGGCCTACATGTATATAGCGAGGTCACCTTGGATATACACACTGTTGTCAAGAATTAAAAAAATACATTGGACATGTTTTGATTCAATGCAATCCGATTATGTGAATATTCAAAGTATTATCTGGTTCACAGTTTATCATTATTATTTAAAGGGACATTTTTTATCAGTTAAACTGTTTATAATGAGTGATTAATTGCAATGTCATTGGTTATTTCAAGGGCAAAACCTATCACACTTTTTTTGGCAAATTTACAGTCTCAGTTTGAGAAGACATTGACTGCTGATGAAATCGTTCGGATTGAGGGTCAAGACATTTAAAACACTTCTCAGATTGAAAAAGTGGTTGAAAATATATAGTGGTCAAATCCCTAAAAAAATAACAGACAGGGAAATATATTAAAGTTTATAACTAACGTTTGAGTGTTTTTAATAAAGCTTTTAACTAATAATGGCCGATCACAACACCTTAAAATAAAAAGTATCGCCTTGCATTCATAAACGTGGTGTGTAAAGTTGGAAACACAATTATCATGCATGAGATAGGACATTCCTCGAGAAATTCCCATCACATAAATGACTGAAAAAATAGGTCAGCGTGAAGACGGGCCCCCTTTTTCTGACAACACGGCCATAACTGTCAGTGCGTTGTAGTACAAGGCTCCATAGCGTTGCGCACAACTTCACTCGCGACAGCGCGACACACACAGTGTCATATTTTACAGCCTGCTCGTTCTGATATGGTCACAGACGAATTGGGGTCAGTGGGATGACGAACGCCAAGATGATGGAAGAAGATGGAGAGACAGGTACAACCCCAGACAGGAACAGTGTATTTTATGTTCATCATCATCACCATCATCATTATCATTCAGCATGATGTCGGTCATCGGCAATGCAGCCAACTAGCAATCTTTGTTTGTTGTTTAACGCCGCACTCAGCAATATTCCAGCTGTATGACGGCGGTCTGTAAATAATCCAGTCTGGACCAGGCAATCCATGACCAGTGATTGACATCATGAGCATCGATCTACGCAACTGGGATACGATGGCATGCATCAACCAAGTCAGCGTGACCACCCGATCCGTTAGTCGCCTCTTAAGACAAGCATAGTCTCCTTTTACGGCAAGCATGGGTTGCTGAAGATCTATTATACCCCGGATCTTCACGGGTCAGCAATCTCTGAGTTACACATTGACATATTGCTTCTTAACTGCATTGCAAGAAATACAAACACGGCCGAATCTCCAACAATTTGAACTTTATCGACAGACATTAGTGTATCATATTTCTGTATAGTGAGAGTACATAGTAGTTCTGTCGAAGATAGATTTGACACCGATCTGCATAAGCCTAACTAACAAGCAAAACTGATACCCATCTTCTCCATACTCATACATACTTTACACATTCTTTTTTCTCCGTGGTCTAGTGGTAGGGCGCCCGCCCGGGGAGGGGAAGGTTCTTGGTTCGATCCCCGGCCGCGTCATTTTAAAAGACGTTAAAAGATGGTACTTGTTGTTACCCTGCCTGTTGCTCGGCATTAAGGGCCTAAAACAAGGACTGGTCGGCTCGGAGTCAGTATACTGTGTCTGAGTGGGGTTTTCATGTTAAACTGCGGCATGGTGTCTCAGTGACCTTGCACTATAAATCGGCATCAGTCCGGACTAGTACAAGCAGCCACACACACACACGTGCATGCACGTCGCTATATAAGTGTAATAATCTTGGACGCGATGTCAAACCCAATTTTACCTCACCTCACCCTTTTTCTCTTATTTTTCATTACATTGACTTGTTCTGTGTTTATTTTATGGGTACTACATCGAAAATTATTAACTGTAATATAATTTATGTAAGGCTTCACGCTGAAAGAAATGTTGATCAGTGAATAGGACAATGTTTTAGAACCACACGTTAGTCGTATCGCAAGCTCTGTTATGAAGCTATCAATATGCTGTATCTGCTGGCCTCTCCAAATCCACCGAAACCTACTTTTTACAAGTAAGGATAAGAATTTATGGATGAACAACTTCTTTATTACAATTTAAGAGCGACGTTTCGGTGTAGGTTCTAACACCGTTATCAAGCTAGTGTTTGCATGTGTTTGTGATGGATGGCACGGTCGGGCAGGATACGCCCTCCTTTTCGCGAACACCTGGTATCACTACTATTTGATTGTGACTCATAAACACATGCTCATGATATAGTCGGAATCATACAATGAGCTTATGATTTCTTATGATTATGGAAAGATTGTTGTCGCCAATATTAGGCGCTGTGTGCATCATAGACACAAATTGTTTTACCAATACTAAACGCTCTTCTGACTTTAATGTGTGAAATATTCCATGACATCAAGGTCGTATTCATATTTCTGAAAATATATTCTTTTTGCACTCTTATTTATTAAAGGAATTGTTACTTCCTTGTGTGTCTGACCTGTCGCTACCAGGATGTGTACATGTACAGAGTGACCCGTGAAGATCCGGGTGGAATAGGTCTTCAGCAACCCATGCTTGCCATAAAAGGCGACTATGCTTGTTGTAAGAGGCGACTTAAGGGATCGGGTGGTCAGGCTCGCTGACTTGGTTGATGCATGTCATCGCGTCCTATCGATGCTCATGATGTCAATCACTGGATTGCCTGGTCCAGACTCGATTATTTACAGACCGCAGACACTCAGCAATAGTTCAGCTATATGACGACTGTCTGTCAATATTCGAGCCTGGACCAGACAGTCAAGTGATTGACATCATGAGCATTTATCTACAAAGTTGATTTGTTTGTTCATTATTTAACGCGGCACTCAACAATATTCAATCACCAACCAAGTCAGTGAGCCTTACCGCCTGATCCCGTTCGTCTCCTTCTATGAAAAGCATGCGCTCCTGAAGACCTGGGTCAAAACAGGATTTTGTTGTTAGACATACACAGTGCATTAGTGAAATTTGGGCAATGAACCTTCTGATAGTTCAAACTTGATATATCTGAAAATCTGCTTTTTATGCATTTTAGCCTAAACTCTTAATCTTACATTGACGTACGTGGAACATTTAAAATTCCACTTAGTCCAAGTGTCGAACACGCGAGATGCTCCTGATTGTAAATGCTAAATTGGAAGCTGATTTGGAAATTATTGCCATAGTTACTGCTTCCTCGTGTACATTATTCATCCTCTTGAGAAGGTAACTAACGGCTTTTATACTCAACATCTTGGCTAAATATGCTGAAATAATTTAAAGTCATCATTTTCACATATCCAACCACCTTTATTACTCGTTGAAGGAGCGACATTTCCCCACTTGACTTTAACATCGTTAAATTGGACGGAATGGGCCCTGTTTAACCGGTGCGATGCTCAACAGTCCTGCCTATAAAGACTGTAGGGCGTCTGAAATGTCGGCTATAACATCATAATGCCGGTGGTAGAAAACACATAACTAATTTATTCTAAACTGTCTTGCGGAAATGTATTAATGCTATTCACGACCATTAATAAACCGTGGAGATTCCAGATTTTATCTTAGCTGACCTTGTTTCCGTTTAAAAAATATTAAGTCGCATAGCAACCTTTCTTCCACTGGGTTAAGTTCAACGTCGATTTGGACAATATTTCACTTTTATCACTGGGTATCTGAATGTGTGATCAAAGTTGCAAGAGGTTTGTTGTTTGACAGATACAACTCGCGAGCACGGCCATCAAAACAGCCACTCTGGAAATATTTGATTCACTCTCAGGGTTTACAAAACAATGAGTAAGATACTGGTTATCTTGAAAAAGATAGTTTGTGAAAAAGAAAATTTTGTCTCATTTCAGACATACAGAGAGATAACATTAACTTATCCTTCCCTTGGGGGTGGGGGGTGGGGGCGGTTGAGTAGCCTAGTGGTTAAAGCGTTCGCTCGTCAGGCCGAAGACCCGGGCTCGATTCCCGACATGGGGACAATGTGTGAAGCCAATTTCTGGTGTCCCCCGCCGTGATATTGCTGGAATATTGCTAAAAGCGGCGTAAAACCATACTCACTCACTATCCTTCCCTTGGACCGCTGGGCCGGCAATGCGGCTCTGTATCTCAGTCGCCTAGCACTTCAAAACTTAAGTCCATAGTAAATATTATACACAGAAAATTTGACAGCAGCATTTCGTTGTCATTTGTCAAAGATATCTTTACCGTCGGCGGTATTAAACAACGCCTTGTCATTTTGAGTTTTAGCCTTTGAATTTTCGAATTTTAAGATCGGCGGACGCGTAAACCTTGCTAAAAATAATCTGAGGCCCAAGAAAACACGGACTTTGGGTATGCATACCAGACAAGGGAAATGTCTGTTAACAGAATTAATGTCAGAAATATATCTCTTTTTGACGCTTACGTTTTTCATTATCAAAGCAGTCACTGCATATTTTAATACAAAGCGTGGTTTAATTCAGTGGAGCAATGTCGGTGTCCCGCACCTGACAAGCTTATGTCAAGTTGGATGTGTGTTCACAGGATGGCGTTACACTGCAGTTGTCGCTGACTGTACTCGCAACACTTGTTCACACTCGCAATCTCATTAAAATCAGATCTAGTTCTCGCTACCGCTAAACAAAGATCTGAGGACATCCCAGTACGGGTCACGTCAGACCGACCTTTCATCCAACCAATCAGAGCGTCGCTTACCAGATCCTAAAAGTGGCAGTCGGAATGTGTTTTCTAATCATGCAACCTCGAAATATTTAACACGGGGTATTCCGAAGGACAGTTACGGGTTTTATGATTATATCCATACAATCTATGCTATCTATAAGCCATTCCAGAATGTTGTTTTGGTCAGTTTTAAAAATATGTTTCGAAGCATAGTCGCCAGTTTGAAACTAGTGCCGTAAAGCTCGAGATAGCTGCATTCTGATTGGCAAATGTCGATTTCTTGTCCGTCATTTCATTGGTCGGTCAATGTTCGCGAAAGGTTGTTCTGACGTGACCCGTAATGGGATGTCCTCAGGTCTTTGGTTAGCGGTAGCGAAAACTAAGATCTAATTTTAATGAGATTGTCACACTCGTGGATTGACAGATGCCTACTGGTAAGTTCAGCAGGATAAGTTGAACCAACTCACACAACGCGTTTGAGACAAGTAGGCGGTGCACTGAATTTGGACACACATATTTGGCTTGTTACAGGTAGGAGTGAGAGTGAGAGAGTGAGTTGGGTTTAACGGCGCTTTTAACCTTATTCCAGTCATAACACGGCGTGTCAGCTTAATGTGGGAGGAAAGCCCGAAGTAATGCAGGTTTCTGACGTTTACCACTTCGGTGAAACCCACGAGCACGGGTAATGTGCTGACAATCCTATAAACACAATCGGGCCGAACCGGGATTCGAACCCACAATCATAGGATTCTGTCGTGCCCAAGGGACGCAAGCCTGCAAAGCGAATAGACGACTGGACCACCCGTGGCCCCTACAGGTGGAACGGGTGTATGCATGTTGTGCACGTGCATGTCATGACGATGAATTTGACTGCGCTCCTGTGGATACACGTGTTACTTACAAGACCATAAGATTATAAGTCGATACCATAATTCTCTAAAAGTGGTTTGGTGGAAGTTAATTACAAACAAATAAATTCGTTGTTACCGTGTTGACTGACATCGGGTACCTCAAATCAGAACGTACTATCATGTGCTATTGAACTCGCCACTAGACTCGTTGTTAACCGAGACAGGACACGCACATATCCACCGTACTACTTGTCGCGGACCACCCGCTACCCCTTTCTTCACAATGGTACGCGCCAGGGGGCGGACCTTATACATAGTCATACGGGGTTAACTGTTAGGTCACAGCTCAACCTATCCTGGCAATAACCCTCCCTTCCTATCACAGACTGTTGATTATTTTTTTTTAAATAAATAAATAAACATTTTCGAAAAATAATTAGATAATAATAAACTGGCAGACTCCCAATCAGAGGGACAGACAGAACAACACGAGGAGGAAAGACACGAGGAAGGACGGATGAAGTAGGAGAGGCCACGGGAAGGATTTTTGTGCTTTGTTTTTTTGTTTAACGCTACTCTCAGCAATATTCCAACTATATGACAGCGGTCTGTAAATAACGGGGTCTGGACCAGACAATCCAGTGATTGACATCATGAGCATCGATCTAAGCAAATGGGATACGATGACATGCATCAACAAAGTCTGCAAACCTGACTACCCGATGGGTACAATGTGTGAAGCCCATTTCTGGCGTCCCCCGCCGTGATATTGCTAGAATAATGCTAAAAGCGGAGTAAAACCATACTCACTCACTCATTTTCAACAATCTTGCTTGAGGTATTGTAGACCTTGTCTTACCCCCCGTCACACAACTAGGTGAGGTGAAATGGGGTTTAACGTCGGGTCTAAGATTATTGCACTTATGTAGCGACGTGCATGCACGTGTGTGTGTGTGTGGCTGCTTGTAGTCGTCCGGAGTGATGCCGATTTATAGTGCTAGCTCACTGAGATACCATGCCGCAGTTTGACATGTATACCCCACTCAGACACAGTATACTGACTCCGAGCCGACCAGTCCTTGTTTGAGCACCTTAATGCCAAGCGTCAGACAGGGTAACAACAAGTTCCATCTTTTAACGTCTTTGGTATGACGCGATCGGGGATCGAACCCCGGACGTTCCGCTCTCCGGGCGGACGCTCTACCACTAGACCACGGAGGCGGTCCGTCAGATAACTAAGGTATGAATAACCCTTTACCTTTTTTGAGGTTCCGTCAGCAGCAGGCGATACAGAAGACTGATTGATGTGTACAGAACTCCGAATATCAACATCTCTTTGAACATCAGCTTGTAGACGCTGCCCTTCCACGCTGCAAGGAGCTTGACAAAGCCCCCTAGCGACGTTGTCGCCACCCGGTATTGGTAGATGATCGTCATGGTATCCACTCAAGCAGATCATCACTGACAAGATGGCGGCATTCTAACTGGTAGCTTCAGTTCGTCAGAACTCTATTTCAAGGAAACAAAACAGGATTAGCTTAAAGGGTAATGTTAGAAAAACAGAGCAAAGTTATATTTGTAAATAATGACTGTCACTCCAAGCGGGGACGACGTGGGGTGTCTATAACACGTCTGTTTCCCAGTTACCAAAGCCGCACTTACAAATAATCCATTAGCATATCTGGATGGGTGAGTGAGTGAGTTGGGTTTTACCCCGCTTTATTCGAGAAATATCCCACCAGAAATTGACATCACACATTGTACCCATGTAGGGAATCAAACCCGAGCCTTCAGCGAGACGAGCGAACGCTTTAACCTCTAGACTACACTACCGGCGGGTGGTGACGGCAGTGACGGCGTCCTGTAAATAATCAAGTCTGTTTCAGATAATCCAGTGATTGACATGATGAACAACGATGCACAAGGTACGGGTACGATGACACGTACGATCAAACCAAGTCACCGAGCACAACCGGAACGAGTCTGGGATGGGGATCAGTAGATTCTGGCGCGACTAAGGGGCGCAACTCTGCACAGTATAAAGCGCTCCAGTCTTCTCGCGTTGCTCACGTCCTTGAGATTGGTTTCGTCAAATTTTTTATCCTGATGCAGGTGCAACTGTTTTCACGGAGGCAGGATATAAGATCCACTAATACTTCAATTAAAATTATTTGAAATATATGACTGCTTGTGCATCGAACTGGGCCTATGATTACACTTATTCTGAAATTCAAACTAAACTTCTTTTACTAACGCACAGTCTTAAAAAAGCGTCATTCTAAAATGTAATCAAAAAGCATTGTGACCGTTTGGAAATTTAAATACCACATCATGGTCTCAGCAACACCCATTCACTAAAGCTGCATAAAATTGAAAAGTTAAGTACAAAAAGCCATTATGTTTATTTTTAACAAACAAACACGTGGAACGACCTCAGAACAATATGACATCGAAAGGTGAAGGTCGTTGCTATAGTAATCACGCATGTCAAGAAGGCCATGTGCAGACAATGAACACTAATTCTTTAAACGTCGGCGGAGCAAACAATTGCCACCTGTACGAGAATGGATGTGTATATATATCTACATGCTGGCCGGGAGAGGTTTTGTATTCACTTTCCGGTAACCCTGAACAAGAGTTCTACAGCCCTGCGTGGCACACAATGACCCGACACGTACATCGCTTAGGTTCAAGGTCGATATATGGGGGGCACGGGTGGCCCAGTCGTCTAAGGCGCCGCGAGTCGCTGAGCAGAGTTGCGTCCCTTGGGCACGCCAGAAACCTATGATTGTGGGTTCGAATCCCGGTTCGCCCCGATTATGTTTCTAGGTTTGTCAGCACCATACCCGTGCTCGTGGGTTTTTCACCGGAGTGGTAAACGTCTGAGACCTGCATCACTTCGGGCTTTCCCCCCATATTAAGCTGACACGCCGTGATATAACTGGAATACTGTTAAAAGCAGCGTTAAACCCAACTCACTCACTCGATATATGACTTTCTTTGTGTAAATTTGGAATATGATCAGATCTTTATTTTTTAAGTATTCAAACATAACACAGTCACAAACAAATGTCCTTTTTCACCGTATTGTGTCGTTTCAGAAGCAATTAATAGGAACCCCTCATATGTTTTTAAAAGATTTATTCCGAACTTGCATCAGTACCCGTGAAAATCCGGCTTAGAATAGGTCTTCAGTAACCCATGCTTGTCGTACGAGGCGACTAACGGGATCAGGTGTCAAGCTCGCTGACTTGGTTGGAGCATGTGATCGTAAACTGATTGCTTGGATCGGTGCTCATGATATCAATCACTGGGTTGTCTTGTCCAGATTCGATTATTTACAGATTGATATCGCTAGCATCGTTCCACGCATTTGGGATACGATGACATGCATCAATCAAGTCAGCGAGCCTGACCACCCGACTACGACAAGCATGGGTTGATGAAGACCTAGTCTACCTCCGGTCTTCACGGGTGAACAAACAAATAAAGTTGTGTTATGTGTTTTTTTTCAACGTGACATCACATCCAGCCATTTTGTAAGTTTTTATTGTTTTGATCCCAGAAACTAATTTTGTTAGGCTTTCCTCCGATTCTAATTATACAAATATAAATACATATGGTCTAAATATTTGATCTAACCCGCCTTGTTACTAAACATGGCGAAGAGTGAGTGAGTGAGTGAGTGAGTGAGTGAGTGGGTGGGTGGGTGAGTGAGTGAGTGAGTGAGTATGGTTTTACGCCGCTTTTAGCAATATTCCAGCAATATCACGGCGGGGGACACCAGAAATGGGCTTCACACATTGTACCCATGTCGGGAATCGAACCCGGGTCTTCAGCGTGACGAGCGAACGCTTTAACCACTTGGCTACCCGACCGCCCCAAGAGTGAGTGAGTGAGTGAGTGAGTGATGAGTACGGTTTTACGCCACTTTTAGAAAACTTCCAGCAACCCAACGGCGGGGCGCAGCAGGAGTGTGCTGCACACATTGTACCATGTAGGGAATCGAACCCGGGCCTTCACCATATTAAACGAAGGCTTAAACCACTAGGCTGCCTCACCGCCCCCATGGTGTTGGAAGTAGTTTGTTGCAGGAAGGTTTCAGACAGTGGTGTAGGAATGCGTGGTTCCATGTGATACAAGAGTAGCGAAGGCATGTGAGGAAACAAATCATGTGTCTGGCGCATATCAAGCCTTAGTGCGTGCACGTGAAAATCATGCGTTTCATGTCTGGCACGACCCCAACGGGTTCTTCCGCGCAATATTTAGAGGGCCTCATGGAAAATGATAATTACAAAATTCTTTGGAATAGGCCCATTTACAGCCAACAAACCTGATCTTGTCCATTTTGATAAATCCAATGAAATCATTTATATTATTGAATTTTCTGTCCCTTTTGACACTAGTGTGATTGACAAGATTCAGAAAAAACATGGCAAATATGCGGACCTCGCTTTCGAAATGTCACGCATGCATCCCAAGTACCAAGTTGTCCGACTCCCCATTGTTCTCGGTGCCTTAGGTTTGGTACCTCCCAATCTGTTGACTGACATTGGGAGAGTACCCGGGTTTGCTACCAGGAATACAGCCCTTCTGACAATGTGGGTAATGCAGAAGGCTGCAGTGTTGGGGAGTCTTCACATTCTCCGAAAGGTTCTTGGTGGGTTTGACTAGGCTGCGCTTAATGGGAGAAGTCCCATTCGCTGTCTGGGCTGCGTGTAGAGGGGGCAAGGGCCCTGAGCTGATGATGAGCCTAACCAGCCTGACTGTGACAGGATCACCCATACCCTCTTTGCTACATTTAAAAAAATTTTAATCTGTACATGATAAAAATAATGACACTAATGAAACCCACCGCCGGACGTTGTTTTTGAATCACACTCGTGGGGTAGTTTTACCCAATTCTCCTCTAGTGAGAACATATCGGGTCCAGGGTAAGGTTGTTGTATCTACAATAGCCGCCAGCTGTCTTCACGGCGAGGGCATTAAACAACTGCACAGATATAGATCCTACTTGAGCATGTTCCTCGGTCCGTGCTTTGCTTGGGAGTGCTCTATTGTAAACAAACGCTGATATTTCCCAACAAATGGCTCCCGAATGTATTTTGGATACACCTTGGTGATAACACAGACAATAAAGCGTTGATCATCTTTTGATGGTGGGAGAGAGTTTACAATTCACGATTTCAGTAAATGAGGGTTAATCTTTAGTCGGGAACCCGTTAATCAAGAATCCGTTAATACCGAACCCGTTAATCTAGAATCCGTTAATACCGAACCCGTTAATCTAGAACCCGTTAATCAAGAACTCCGCTTATTTCAAACCTTTTAATCCTGAACCCGTTAATCAAGAACTCCGCTTATTTCAAACCTTTTAATCCTGAACCTGTTAATCAAGAACTCCGCTGATCCCTAACCCTTTAATCCTGAATCAGTCAATTGGTTGATGTGTGAACCTTTTAATCCTGAACCCATTAATCTAGAATCCGTTAATTGGTTGATGTGTGAACAACGGTTTTGAATTGTTGACTGTTTGAATGTCATGGTTGATTGGTTGATGTGTGAACAATGGTTTTGAATGGTTGACTGTTTGAATGTGTAATGGTTGATGTTTGAACAACGGTTTTGAATGGTTGACTGTTTGAATGTCATGGTTGATCGGTTGATGTGTGAACCTTTTAATCCTGAACCAATTTATCTAGAATCCGTTAATTGGTTGATGTGTGAAAAATGGGTTTGACTGGTTGACTGTTTGAATGTGCCATGGTTGATTGGTTGATGTGCGAACAATGGTTTTGAATGGTTGACTGTTTGAATGTCATGGTTGATTGGTTGATATGTGAACAATGGTTTTGAATGGTTGACTGTTTGAATGTCATGGTTGATTGGCTGATGTGTGAACAATGGCTTTGACTGGTTGACTCTTTGAATATGTCATGGTTGATATGTGAACAATGGTTTTGACTAGTTGACTCTTGGGGTATGTCATGGTTAGTTGGTTGATGTGTGAACAATGGTTTTGACTGGTTGACTCTTTGAATATGTCATGGTTGAATGGTTGATATGTTAACAATGGTATTGACTGGTTGACTGTTTGGATATGTCATGGTTGATTGGTTGAATAGTGAACACTGGTTTTGAATGGTTGACCGTTTGAATGTCATGGTTGAATGGTTGATATGTGAACAATGGTTTTGACTGGTTGACTGTTTGGATATGTCATGGTTGGTTGGTTGGTATGTGAACAACGGTTTTGACTGGTTGACTGTTTGGATATGTCATGGTTGATTGGCTGATGTGTGAACAATGGTTTTAACTGGTTGACTGTTTGGATATGTCATGGTTGATTGGCTGATGTGTGAACAACGGTTTTGACTGGTTGACCGTTTGGATATGTCATGGTTGATTGGCTGATGTGTGAACAACGGTTTTGACTGGTTGACTGTTTGGATATGTCATGGTTGATTGGCTGATGTGTGAACAACGGTTTTGACTGGTTGACCGTTTGGATATGTCATGGTTGATTGGCTGATGTGTGAACAACGGTTTTGACTGGTTGACAGTTTGGATATGTCATGGTTGATTGGCTGATGTGTGAACAATGGTTTTAACTGGTTGACCGTTTGGATATGTCATGGTTGATTGGCTGATGTGTGAACAACGGTTTTGACTGGTTGACTGTTTGGATATGTCATGGTTGATTGGCTGATGTGTGAACAACGGTTTTGACTGGTTGACTGTTTGGATATGTCATGGTTGATTGGCTGATGTGTGAACAATGGGCTTTCTCTTGGTAGATTGTCATGCGTTCTCAATAAGCTTCAACATTATGGTTTAATGACGATTTGTAAACCAGCAATCCGGCAAATATATCGGCCGTCAAATCTCATGAGCTGGATTAAATTTATAAATAGAAGATTTTCAACACCTGCCTCCACGGAGCGAATGCATGTCACGTGATTTCCGATAATAATTATCAGGCTCGACTTAAATAACATTCCCCACCCCCTCCCCCTAAAGCTGATGGGCGTTATCAGATGTTCCTGCTTTCAGATGTCGAATCAGGTCTGCACCTAACCGTATTATGATTAAAACGAAATCTGCATTCACCGACGTATAAATAAAAGGGTTTCCGTTCGAGTGAGTGTGGGGTTTGAAGTTGAACGGTCAGATTTGCATTTTCGTTGCGACCCGCGACCTCGACCGTTTTTGTTTTTTTATCTGTGTCTCAGCACAGCGTGTACCATACATCAGTACAATACATCAGTACAATACATCAGTACAATACATCAGTGCACTACATCAGTACAATACATCAGTACAATACCTCCTTCTGTACCAACAGAACTAAAGACTGGTTCCTGAAAGAATCCTATAAATTCTAATAGGTATATGACACCATATTAGGGACTATCTTTTCTTTCGCCACATTTTCACACAGAAACATTTTGGTTTCCACGTGTTCACATTTATTCAAAACGCTTATTGACATTTATTCATAATGTATATTTATATTTATTCATGACATATGTTTATATTTATTCCTGACGTATGTTCATATTCATTACGTGTGTTCATATTTAATCAAGGCATGACGTATGTTAATATTCATTCATGACGTATATTCATATTCATAACGTGTGTTCATATTTATTCAAGGTATGACATATGTTCACATTTATAATTTATTCCCGAGAAACCAAAGATCACAAACGAAAAGATCACAATCTGAGAATCGAACCCACAATGAGCGGATCATGACACGCAAAGGGACGCAACTCTGCACAAAGCATTATACGACCCGGCACCTGGTGTCTCTTGGCTATTTTCAAATATCTCGTTTGAGAATATACAACGAACGTCCACAGCATGGTTAGGTGAGGTGAAAGGGGTTTAACGTCGCGTCCAAGATTATTGCACTTATATCGCGACGTGCATGTACGTGTGTGTGTTTGTGTGGCTGCTTGTACTAGTCCTGACTGATGCCGATTTATAGTGCTAGCTCACTGAGATACCATGCCGCAGTTTAACATGAATACCCCACTCAGACACAGTATACTGACTCCGAGCCGACCACTCCTTGTTTTAGCCCCTTAATGCCGAGCGCCAGACAGGGTAACAACAAGTACCAGCTTTTAATGTCTTTTGGTATGACGCGGTCGGGGATCGAACCCCGGACCTTCCGCTCGCTCTACCACTAGACCACGGAGGCGGTCCTCCACAGCATGGACGTAGACTAGAAATACAGGGTGATAGCATGCAACCCAAATATTAGAGACATACTTACAAACGTGGACTATCCTCAGACAATGTTAAGAATATTCCGAGCGGCAAAAACACACTCATAGTCCACCATCATAGACACATTTCTGAACATCCAAAATAGCCTCACAACACAGAACACAACGCACAAGCCTGCAACACTCCTGTAAGATTCCAATATGCAATCGCCCTGGGCAATGTAAGAGCCAATAGAACGGCACCCATCTACTAAACTCTTATGGCCCAGGTGTACGGAGCGTCTAGTAGGCATCGCTTGCTTTGGCTGCGTATGGAGTACGTAAAGGGCCATATGTTAAGTATACTATTGTTTTCCTCGCAAAACAACTAAATCCGGTTTGTGATTTCAATGTGCGAACCGGTTACGTTTTAAGTAACAGGTTTAAAGCAGGTGGCAGTTAAAGAATTTAGTACCTTGAAAATATTATGTGTGGCGTCAGAAATGACGTGACAACTGCCAGATGAAGCACATCGCCTAACAAACAAGTTATTTGGCTTGCTAAGGTGCGGTCTTTGCTTGCACTCGTGCCTACGCTAGTATAATGTAAAGATAACTTCATTTTAGAACTGTGACAGCCCCTTCATGAATAAATAACTCGTTGTATATACAAGTTTCCCTGTGAAATTCACAACTATTGTCGTGAGGCACAAGACCTCCGCTGTATTGGTTTCAGACAGTTTTTTAAGTGCAAGTACATTCTATACTGTGGCCGCTTTGCTGTAACTGGAACGATAGGCAATACTTGGTTTGCTGGACCTTTCACAATACCCTTACATACATGAGACACTGAACATTCATTTGCCAACTCCCTTAGGTACCTTAATACTGAGCTTTCTATTTACAACACCCTTACATACATGAGACACTGAACATTCATTTGCCAACCCCCTTAGGTACCTTAATACTGAGCTTTCTATTTACAACACCCTTACATACATGAGACACTGAACATTCCTTTGCCAACTCCCTTAGGTACCTTAATACTGAGCTTTCTATTTACAACACCCTTACATACATGAGACACTGAACATTCATTTGCCAACTCCCTTAGGTACCTTAATACTGAGCTTTCTATTTACACCACCCTTACATACATGAGACACTGAACATTCATTTGCCAACTCCCTTAGGTACCTTAATACTGAGCTTTCTATTTACAACACCCTTACATACATGAGACACTGAACATTCATTTGCCAACTCCCTTAGGTACCTTAATACTGAGCTTTCTATTTACACCACCCTTACATACATGAGACACTGAACATTCATTTGCCAACTCCCTTAGGTACCTTAATACTGAGCTTTCTATTTACAACACCCGTACATACATGAGACACTGAACATTCATTTGCCAACCCCCTTAGGTACCTTAATACTGAGCTTTCTCTTTACAACACCCTTACATACATGAGACACTGAACATTCATTTGCCAACTCCCTTAGGTACCTTAATATTGGGCTTTCTTTTGACAACAGCCGAAGATTAATGGAATACTGAACTTTCATTTGACAACGCCCGTAGATACACGTAATACTGAACTTTCATTTGACAACCCCCATATATACACGTTATACCGAACTTTCATTTGATAATGCCCACAGATGCATGAAATAATAACCTTTCATTGACAACGCCCACAAATACATGTAATACTGAACTTTCATTTGATAATGCCCACAGATACATGAAATAATAACCTTTCATTGACAACGCCCATAGATACATGAAATACTAAACTTTCATTTGATAACGCCCGTACATACATGTTATACTGAACTTTCATTTGATAACGCCCCTAGATACATGTAATACTGAACTTTCATCTGACAAGGCCCATATATTTACGTAATACTGAACTTTCATCTGACAACGCCCATAGATACATGAAATACTGAACTTTCATTTAATAACACCCGTAGATACATGTAATACTGAACTTTCATTTGACAACGCCCCTAGATACATGTAATACTGAACTTTCATTTGATAACGCCCATAGATACATGTAATACTGAACTTTCATTTGATAACGCCCCTAGATACATGTAATACTGAACTTCCATCTGACAACACCCCTAGATACATGTAATACTAAACTTTCATTTGACAACGCCCCTAGATACATGAAATACTGAACTTTCATTTGATAACGCCCATAGATACATGTAATACTGAACTTTCATTTGAAACGCCCCTAGATACATGTAATACTGAACTTTCATCTGACAAGGCCCATATATTTACGTAATACTGAACTTTCATCTGACAACGCCCATAGATACATGAAATACTGAACTTTCATTTGATAACACCCGTAGATACATGTAATACTGAACTTTCATTTGACAACGCCCATAGATACATGTAATACTGAACTTTCATTTGATAACACCCGTAGATACATGTAATACTGAACTTTCATTTGATAACGCCCATAGATACATGTAATACTGAACTTTCATTTGATAACACCCGTAGATACATGTAATACTGAACTTTCATTTGATAACGCCCCTAGATACATGTAATACTGAACTTTCATCTGACAACGCCCCTAGATACATGTAATACTAAACTTTCATTTGACAACGCCCCTAGATACATGAAATACTGAACTTTCATTTGATAACGCCCATAGATACATGTAATACTGAACTTTTATTTGATAACGCCCCTAGATACATGTAATACTGAACTTTCATCTGACAAGGCCCATATATTTACGTAATACTGAACTTTCATCTGACAACGCCCATAGATACATGAAATACTGAACTTTCATTTGATAACACCCGTAGATACATGTAATACTGAACTTTCATTTGACAACGCCCCTAGATACATGTAATACTGAACTTTCATTGGACAACGCCCCTAGATACATGAAATACTGAAGTTTCATTTGATAACGCCCCTAGATACATGTAATACTGAACTTTCATTTGACAACGCCCACAGATACATGAAATAATAACCTTTCATTGACAACGCCCATAGATACATGTTATACTTAACTTTCATTTGCCAACCCACATAGATACATGTAATACTGAACTTTCATTTGATAACGCCCATAGATACATGTAATACTGAACTTTCATCTGACAACGCCCATAGATACATGTAATACTGAACTTTCATCTGACAACGCCCATATATACACGTAATACTGAACTTTCATTTGATAACGCCCATAGAAACATGTAATACTGAACTTTCATTTGACAACCCCCATAGATACATGTAATACTGAACTTTCATTTGACAACCCCCATAGATATATGTAATACTGAACTTTCATTTGATAACGCCCATAGATACATGGAATACTGAAGTTTCATTTGACAACGCCCATATATACACGTAATACTGAACTTTCATTTGACAACGCCCACAGATACATGAAATACTGAACTTTCATTTGACAACGCCCACAGATACATGAAATAATAACCTTTCATTGACAACGCCCATAGATACATGTAATACTTAACTTTCATTTGACAACGCCCATATATACACGTAATACTGAACTTTCATTTGACAACCCCCATAGATACATGTAATACTGAACTTTCATTGACAGCGCCCATACAGCAGATACATGGAATACTGAACTTTCATCTGACAACCCCCATAGATACATGTTATACTGAACTTTCATTTGACAGCGCCCATATATACACGCAATACTGAACTTTCATTTGATAACCCCCATAGATACATGAAATACTGAACTTTCATTTCACAACGCCCCTTGATACATGACATACTGAACTTTCATTTGACAAGGCCCCTAGATACATGTAATACTGAACTTTCATTTGGTAACGCCCATAGATACATGAAATACCGAACTTCATTTCACAACGCCCCTAGATACATGAAATACTGAACTTTCATTTCACAACGCCCCTAGATACATGAAATACTGAACTTTCATTTGACAACGCCCATAGATACATGAAATACTGAACTTTCATTTCACAACGCCCATAGATACATGAAATACTGAACTTTCATTTGACAAGGCCCATAGATACATGAAATACTGAACTTTTATTTGACAACGCCCATAGATACATGTAATACTGAACTGTCATCTGACAACGCCCCTAGATACATGAAATGCTAAACTTTCATTTCACAACACCAGATAGATACATGAAATACCGAACTTCATTTCACAACGCCCCTAAATACATGAAATGCTGAACTTTCATTTGACAACGCCCCCAGATACACGTAATACTGAACTTTCATTTGACAAGGCCCCTAGATACAATTAATTCTGAACTCTCATTTGACAACGCCCCTAGATACATGAAATACGGAAATCCATTTTCACAACGGCATCCGCCATTGCACTTAATCCGGCACAGCATGAACCAGAAAGCCACCAGTCTGCACCAGATGTCAGACCTGACTGACAAGACCTTAGTCATCAAACATTTCATCATCCTCATTTTTTTCTCCTCTTTTGGACAACAGCATCAGAACATTTGTCCACGACACTGACGACAGGTTTATGACTGTACCGACATACCATAGAAACTCAAGGAAACTCAGCATCATATATTAATGTTTTCAAACTCGATTCTGTCAAGCGTATATTGGTCGCTAACAAACAATCACATACTGTCTGGCGATCCCATGATTGTTACGTACGTGTTTTGAACCGTGTTAGAATTGGTCTTCAGCTACCCATGCTTAGAGGCGACAAACGGAATCAGGTGGTCAGGCTCGCTGACTTGGTTGATACATGTCATCGTATCCCAATTGCATGGATCGATGCTCATGATGTCAATGACTTGACTGTCTGGTCCAGACTCGATTATTTACAGACCGCCGTCATGTGGGTGGAATACTGCTGAGTGTGGTGTTAAACGACAAACAAGCAAACAAACAGACCAGACACGGCTTGTATTTCTACAAACCAGGTGCAAACTCGCGTCTGGAAGGTGTTAGCCGCCCATATTGTCTCGGTACACCACCAACTATTTCAGGAAAATGTAACAATTTCAAGTTACATAGGTGATCGATATCACGATATGTAACCAACATGTTACTGAGATATTAGTTCAATCAGCTTCTTTCACCCAGGTGTTCAAACGTCAATGATTATGTTAATCTCTAAGACTACTACTACTAGTACTACTACTGCAGATGCTACTACTACTTCTACTACCACCATCACTACTACTGCAGATGCTCCTACTACTTCTACTACCACCATCACTAC